TTGAGAAGAAAGTCAGAATTCCGACTTTCTTCTCAAAATTCGGAATTTTATCTCAGAATTCTGACTTTCTTCTCAAAATTCTGACTTTAAGAATTCTTACTTTAATCTCTATAATCTCTTTGGCTATGATACAAATTTTCGTTGAAATAAATGTTTACATTTATTGTTTCAGTTTATTTATAATACACATTTTTACAGCATTAAAAAAAAATGAATGTTTGATCTCCTGCACACCATTTTAAAATAAACAAACAATAAAAAGTCAATTTTCATAGACGCAAGGGGGGCACTAAAGAGCCGCAAGTTGCCAACCGCAACTAGACCGTATTAAGGATAAAAATAATCTTTCTGATAACAAGCTTGACTCGTAGCTTTTATTTATAACATGTTATGATGTTCCTCAGCTCTCTGTAATTGTTTTAACTGTAAGTGTAGACCTTCACAGCTTTTCCACAGGGTCTAAGTTGGCGAGAAGAACTTTTGTCTGATCAGAAGAGGGTAGAACATTAAGCTTTTAGGGCAGCCATGATTTTATTCTTCTCTCTTTGCAAAGAAAGATAATAAAATGCCAACTGAGTGAATTAAGATCTATTTCATTTATTTTACTGGATTGCATAGCTCAATACTTTTTCCTGCAATTTTTTTAGAATGTAATAAGGTATATAGATATTTTTAGGGCTTATTTGTTGATTATTTTTTGGATTGATAATCGGATAGCAGACTTTTGCAAAATGAAACCAGGTGAGGCTAAAACTTCTCCACTTGAGGAGTTCTGAATAGAGCATATTGACAAACGAAAACATATTTATCTTAAATGTTTATTTTATTTTATTTTATTTTTTTTACAATTTTCTAATAATTTCTGCTCTAATTCGGATTCTCTGTCATGTTTTAGAGTATCTATGATCCAGTAAACGATTAATCAATAACTAAATTAGTTAACAATCCTTTCAATAATCGATAACTTGTATCTGCCCTAGATTTTCTTATTCATGTATTTTTTTAATTATACATATATATTTACAGTAATTTGTTGTTTTTATTCATATACTGCTGAATATGTCCCTGTTTTCAAACAGAAGGAAGGTTCACTACTATATCAGTCAGCTAATTGTTAGGATTCAGCAATAAGTGGGGGTGGACAGCGTAAAGGCTTTTCCTTACTTCTTGCTTTTAATTTGCTGATAATTGAATGTTTCTTTTTTTTCAGAGAGCGGAATAGATAAAGTCTGTTGGGTAAAGATGCTTTATTCCAACTAATGTTATTTTCTAATCAGTTGACTGTGGTACCGTTGTGTGTCTCCCACTAAGAAGTATGGTGACCCACAGCGAGGAATCGCCCGGCCCCTCCTATGCTGTCAGACCTCCAGTCATCTTTAACCCAGATTTCTTTGTGGAGAAGCTCCGCCACGAGAATCCTGAGGCTTTCCTGGAGCTCGTGCTCAGTAACATCACCCGGCTTATTGATCTTCCTGGGATGGAGTTCGCTCAGCTCCTCGGGGAGGAGGGCCCCAAGATCCCAACAACAGGAAACGGAGGCTTTTTCCGTTCTCTTAACTTCCTCAAACGAAAAGGTAAGTCTTACCTTCAACACATTATGATGCCTACAACTGTATATTCGCTGGGTTTAAGAAGCAAAAAAAACCCCCCAAAAAAAACTGGGTTAACATATTCTGCATAAACGCTGTTGCATGAGGCTGGGTAAAAAAAAAAAATCGATTTTAGTGATTTTGGATCGAATCCTTTAAAGCTTTGAAAAAAATCGATGTGTAGGGAATGAGATCTATTAGTTTTATAGTGACGTGCGCGACATTCATGTTCAAATGAGCAGACGTGTGCAAATCCCGACGCAAGTAACACACCGCTCAGCAAGCCGCCCCAACTAAAGTCTGATGTCCAGAACCATTTAAGATTTAAAGCAATTAAAGATAATGTGCTGGATCAAACAAAGGTGGTTTGTGAGATCTTTAAAAGGGAGTTCAGATATTGTAGAAACACTACAAATCTCAGAAATCACTTTACTAGATATCACGTTATATTAACATCCGACAACAAACCTTCCATAGCTAAACAGAAAAACACTAAAGGAACTCGATAGCATTACCAGCAGATTTTCCATGGGCAAGTAAGATAACAGGCGATTGCAACTTTTGTGTGCACTCTGTAGTGGAAAATGAAGGCTTCAAGCGGCTCATTCATGTGCTCTAACCACACTGTTACACGCCAGTAAAATATGACACCCAAATGATAATGCATTTAGCAGAGAAAGTCGGCACAACTTGTGAAACACGGACGGCGCTGGCGATGCAGTCCAACATTGCAGTTACTTCTCACTAAATGGATAATGAGTGATGCCACGCGTCTCCTGTGCTACAGTCCTCCCCGACATTACTACGAGCCACACATGCAAATACAGCCAATAGGTTGACGGAAGCCATTAACCAATGGGGCCTGACCAGCAAACACCCTGTAGCTGTTACAGACAACGCTACAAATATGTTTTGTGCTCATGCAAGTCTGCTGCTTCAGCCACACACTGAACTTAGCCTCACAAACAGTTCTAAAGATCCCCAATACATAGATCCAATATACATGAGTATTTTGAAACACAGTTGAACCACTTTCATTATTGTAAAAACAGATCGAATGGAATCAAACTGAATTGATTCAGAACTGTATGAAACGAAATCGAATCGTTTCAGGACTTTGGCCAAAATACAGAGCCCTACTGCTGCACCTTGTCCTTGACTTTGAGGATGCTGGATTTGATGGTCTTCAGTCTGTTGAGCTTACAGTGACCCAAATACATTTCATCTATTGAGTGATGGCTCATTAAAGGATTTGACCCAATAACATTTAAAGCAGGTTCTTCTAGGTGTAAACGCTGCTAGCAGACGGCTCAGATGGCAGCAGGTCCAAACAAAACAGAGCCTATGGAAATTGCCAAAATGGCGGTCCTTATTTAACATAAAAGTTGTCAGAATGTTTTTGTTTTCTTTCATTGACAAACCTCACGAATAAGAATAAATGTGTTTACACGAGATGTCATTTTAACATACATCTTTATGTAAACGATGTCCTGAAGAAGCTGAATTTTAATGTGTATATTCTTAAAGAGTATTATTTGTTGTTTGGGGGCTGTGAATGCTGTGGTAAGCACTCAAAGCAATAGAGTTACCTGAGAAAGACTATGAAGAAGTAATGGGTTTTTTTTTGTCAATTTTTTTTGTCAATTTTTTCATTATAACGATAATACAACCTAATATGTAGAGTGCGTATTGCCCAGCCCTAATCAACAACGACGAGAAGTTGAGATATTCAGCTGCTGCAGCAGAGCAGCTGAATAAGTGAGCATGTGTTGGTTCTCTCCGGGTACTCCTGCTTCCTCCCACAGTCCAAAAAGATGACTGTCAGGTTAATTGGCTTCTCTAAATTCTCCGTAGGAGTGAGTGTTTGCCTGAATGGTTGTTTGTCCTGTTTGTCTCTGTGTTGCCCTGTGATAGACTGGCGACATGTCCAGGGTTGACCCCGCCTCTCACCCATAGACAGCTGGAGATTGGCACCAGCAGCCATTGTGACCCCAGCTTGAATAAGTTTGACAGAAAATGGATAAATTCAGCTGTATTTTGAACAAAAAACTAAAATTTCTAATGAAACATATTTCACTGCAGTAACTATCAAAAAATAAGTAAACACTTCATACCATAAGTGTGTTTACCCTTAATTTGATTAGTTAAATAAGATGATCGCTAATAGAATTTGCATTTCTACTCTTAAAATAAGATAATTAGAATGTATGCACTTGAAATAAGACTTTTGTTATTTC